TCGCGTTGAGGGCTGTTTTGGCATCTCCCTCCACGAGAGACTTTAAGTAAAACAGTCGTTCGACATCGGTGAGCTGTTGATCGTTATGCACTAGCGCTCGAAAGAGATCTCGGAAGCTCTCCCAGTCTTCTCTTTTCCCGGAAAAGGCTCTTTCTTCGGGGCAGGCGGGGTCCACAACTCGATGTAGCGCGCCTGGGGCCCGCTCCGCCGTTGCCAGGGAGTGGTGCGAGGGTGCTCTTCGCGTTGTAGAGGTGGGCGCGTGACTCTATGTACTCAGCCTCCGATGTCAAGTACATTTGGGTTAGTGACTCCTGATTCTTGGGAGGAGGCGTCTCGATGAGCCTCAGATGATTGGCCTGAAAGTCGCTCCAGTAGCCATCCAGCAACTCAAGCCTCACTTGGACGAGGCCGGTGGTCCAGGCCGAGGGCTCAGTTTGCGTGACGGCCAGCGCGAAACGAGCGATGACGTCTGCCAGAGCGCGTTAGGCGCCAAATAGGTTAGCCCAGCCTTTGTCGGACCTAAAAGAGCAATCATGAGCTTGACGGTTGCACGAAGCTGCTATTGCCATCGGGCCGAGCCTGGCTTTGTCCTCACTTTCACAATTAACACGCATGTGTGCGGTTATACGACGGGGAGAAGAAGAGAGAGCGAGAGAGAAAGAGACTCACACCTTATGTACACACACACGCACACACGCACATACGCACCCACATGCGGGCGCGTAGACGCTTGCGTGCATCACGCATTGAAAAAGAGAGGTTAAATGCTAACCTTGATAAACCGCCCGTATTGCGTTTGCTCTAGTCATGACAAGGTATAGGTACACCCGTAAGGAAGGCAATGTGGCTGCCGCTACTGACAAAATAACCACTACCAGCGACACGGCTTCATGTCTGCCGTGGCCATATGTATGACAAGCGCTGGACCACGGGCTATACAGTGGCCGTGGCAGCCTTGTATTTAACTTGTGACGCGGATGCTCGTGAAGCACGCGTTAATGGCGGCACGACCTCGTCGTGGCCATGATCAAGCAACGCAAGCCGGACCGCGGGCATGATGGCGGCCGCGATGGCTTAATACAACCAACACTGTGACATCAGTAATAGTGTACTCACATTATGTTGTGTGCTGAATGCTCTCCTTGGCTTATACCTGCTCTGCAATGATTGCTGTTTGTTTCTTACTTGCTCGGAATCCGGCTCGAAGGACCAATGTTCAGTTTTGAAAATCTTTATTGGATATGACTTAGCGCCCAGTACAGAGTTGCAGACAATTATAGCACTTCTGTCGTAGTGATCTTCCTCAGCTCTTTCAGTCTGTCAGCCCGCGCGCGGCTCGGCAGCTGCGCAGGAGCAGCACGTGCGCAGAACGGAGAAGAGCGCGCGTGCCATCATCTTGTCGGACGTTGATCGCGGGAAAAGAGCTGAACAATCTTTGTTGCACCGGTAGCAACGGTCCACTAAAACTCAGCTCCCTGTTGGGCGTACGCTCTATGAGCTTGAGGATTATTATATCTCTGTTCTGTATCTACCTTTTCTTCCTTTTCAGCTTTTAGCTCAAATAAATACGATTTTATTTCCTCTGGGCTCATATTAGTTGTAGTTTGTCTTCTAATAATATCAGCACTTCTGACCTCAAGGATGATTTGAGCTACCACCTGATAGAAAGCTATTCTTTTTTCTTGCACTGTTAGAGGATTAGTCTCTTTGCACATTTTGTACTCTCTAATTATAGATTTGAAGCGAATACAGATATCATCTACTTATCCTCCTTTTTTTATCGTTATTTAATATAACTTAGCTCTTACAAATGTACGAGTCACTTTCAGTTTCGTTGTTTTAAACAAAATTAAGCTTTCTATGATCTCTTTCGGTTTTTAAACGTCAAGGATCCTTATGTGATAACATTTATTAAGGTGATAAATTATTATGTCTCTTACTAAATTCTTTGTTTGATTTATTACCTCCTCAGTTAAATTTTTTGGACCATTGTGATTCAAGTCAGCAACATCGTACAAATCGTTACTTACCAGCTGTGATTTTAAATAATCAATCTAATTATTAAAGTTTGATCTCTCTGTAAGCTTGTAATCTCTCTTAATTGTTATTTTTGGGGTATTTAGATCATCGATCAATACTCAATTCATGCTCGAATTTTTAGTACTTTTCCTAACTTCTAAATTAACAATTTTATTAGGGTTATCTTTAAAATTTTTATTTACCTCTAGTTTTTTTATTCGCAGCCTCTTGGTCTCTAGGTTGTTCTTTAATGCCTCTAGCATCTTGTCGAACACCTCTCTCATGGTCTGAGCCATGGCTGCTTGACTCTTGCTTACTTCTTTGAGTCCCTCAGAATAATTAGCTAAGGCAGACTCAGCTCTTCATCAAGTCTATAAGTTTAGAAGGCTTGGCTCAAAATTTGTGACCTGATGATTTGACCTACTGTCGAGCCTCCTTGATGATGAACTCGATCTTTATCTCAAAGGAGTCATTATCGCTGTCTTTTTTGACGATGCGCAACAGCTTTTCTATTTGTCACAGGATTATACAAATGACTTAGACTTATTTGCATTAAATGCTCTTACTACAGTTTTAAATTTTAGTTAGCCACTCTGATTATCAATTGATAATTGAATTCTGTGGTATTCTCAAATATTCTAAGCCTGTATTCTAAAAAAATTTGTGAAGTAAACTCTCTAACACTAGGTTACCATGTATTCTAATTTTACGCTAAAATTTTACAACAGATCTAAATTTTCTGAGATCGAAAGGACTACAAAAACCCGAACCTCTCAAGTATTAAAATATTTTGTAGTATTTTAACAGGTAACGTCTGGTGTTTAAGTGTCATTCAAGTGCTTCTGAACCAAGAGAAACGAACGTCAATTTATCTTCGCTCGAAACGAAAAACAAGTTCTCTCAACTAAGCCAAACGCGTGTTTGCACCTAGTTACTGAGTCAGAATTTCACGCATGGCAATGAAAGTATTCGAAGATAGATTAATCATGTGCGTGCACGGGGCTCAAACGGGTTCACACAGTTTTCCTAGTCGTCACCAGATTCCAGTGGCACAGCACGCTTTTCACGGATTACAACCTCGCGACGATTCACTGAGTCTATAACATAGATTTTAGAAGCGTGAATGCAACCAAAAAAATTTTGCTAAGCGTTTTCTGGAGAATGGAGACAAACTTTCAGCAAGGTAGCGTGCCGTTGTATACATTCATGTACGTATGTAATTTCTCGAAAGTACCGAAATGAGAACGTATATGGGAATGCTTCACGTGTTTTTTATCTCTTTTCAAAGTAAAATGCACCACATACAACCGTCCAAGGTAAAAATGCTCGAGAATAATCATGAATAGCACACCTGCTTGAAATTACGCTAAGAGATTTGTACGAGTGTGCGCATGAACATCTTTGCTCTCCCTCCTTCACGGACCAGAATTTACTCGAAGTATGTTATCTTTATTCTCTATCTTTCTCACTCCATCAAGTTAAAACAAAACACAAAAGTGCGCCCACCATCGCTGACGAACACAGCCGTTGCAGACCACGCGTCAACAAAGGAGGAGGAGAGGACGGGAAAACAGTCGCGCGAGCAAAACTCTTCCTTGGAAAAATAATAACCCACGCAGGACGCTCTCACTTATCTCAACACCTCCTTTAATAGCACCAGTCTCTTATACCTACACACTACACTTGACAGTAGAGAGAGAGAGAGAGAAAGAGAGAGAAACAAAGATACACACGCACTCACACGAATGTTATACTCGGCGCGCTTCCAGAGAAACTTTTCTTGGAGACACCGTCACTTACTCTGATGCTGCTCACTCTCCTTTAAAAATGGTGATGACACGCAGGTAGTGCACCCTCTCTGACGGTGATCCGCTTGCCGCTCGCTGTCTCTGTGCTGGCCTCTATATTTATCTTACTTTGCTTCTAGCCTCTATAAAACACAATACACTCTTAACAGTTTAATTTTCTGATTATGGCAGAAAGTTACTCTTGAGCAGTGGCTTGCGTGCCCTGGGCCCATAACTTATCGCAGGTATGGGATGAATAGCCAGGGCACAAGGTTAAATGAATACTTACAGAAGAGAGTATTAACTGTTTAACTCTATTTATTTGATACAATATAAAACCATACGGCCTCTCTGCAGTGCCACTCTGTATGTTTGGTATCCTGATTTATAACGAAGTAACGGTATTAGCGGTAGCACGGGTACTACTTTAGAACTGACTCAGCTGAACTGCGTATCTCGCCACAAGCGTGCGCACAAATCTTTAGTTTATTTTTTGAAATTTTTAAATGATTGTTCTATTTCTGTATAATAAAAAATATTAATTAAACTTATGTTAGTTAAGCTTTTTTGAAAGTCTTTGGTTAGTTAAAATAATATGTTTTCAAGATTGTGCCAAACTGATGGAGAATCCAGATAAACAAAAAAAAAAATTTTCCCTTTAAAATCTTTTTTGTCGTTAACAATATTTTTATGTATTAAAAATGATATTAAGCACAACCAGAAGTTAAAAAAAAAAATAAATCTAGTTTGTGCTAGACTACAGCTCCCTTTTTAATTCCCTCCCCTCTCCTTTAATCTTACGTAATGGCCAAGTTCGCCATTCATATATTCATACATATTATGTAAGTCCGTTCTGTAGCACGTATGTATCAACAGTCGATGTGAAAAAAGTCACAACCAAAATTTTCTTATGTAAAATCATAATAGAAAATTGCAATTATGTTTTCCAAAATAGTAAAATTTTTTTAGTATAATAGGAAAGAATATTTCATGATTGACACACTTCTGCATTTGAATTACTTGAGAGCTCTATCATTAAGGGATACTTGCTAATTATTTACAAGAATTTTTATTGTATTAAAAGTTTATCGCTTACAATAAACTGGCATTTGAATAAAATCAAAGAATTATTACATTATTAGTTGTTTCACCATGGCCCAAAAGAAATCTTTATCTATATTCATATTTTTGCAGACGGCATCTCATCTTATCCTGCCAAGGCAGATTAAATATATTTCCTTTCGACGATCCACTATGCTCATTTGCTATTGAAAGTAGTAAGTATTATAGCTAAGGGGTGAGTACTCATATTTAAGGGCACCTAAAGTATAGTTTTAGTTTCAATTCTTAGAACTTTTCTCATATAACTAACTTTATTGCAATTAGTACACAAAACGTGGGTAGATATAGAGAACCATAACTCAATACATAAAAATTAAAACATAGACGGCTTATTATTCAATAAAAGTAAAAAGATTTTTTATGGTTTTTAGTATCCTACGAACAGACAGCAATCACGTACGTGTGGAAAAACGACGAGGACACATTACGGAAGAGTCCCAGTCTAACTACTTTAAATGCATACCTTATAAAGAATCAGACAATCACATGTCCTATTAAATCAAGTTGGAGAGGTGAGTCTGATAACGAAATTCACTAATTAAATAAAACTTCTTTTTTTTGCTATGAATGTCAAACTACGGAATTATATCCATAAAAAGTTTTATTTTTTAAAAACAACTTTTTTGTCTTTTCTCGTTCCAAAAATTGATTGTATGGGTTTCATACGTAGTCTTACTAATATATAAAGCAAAGTCGCTAAAACCGTTGTAATCACTAACCGCGAAAACTACTGAACCGATTTTGCTGAAATTTTGCAAACAAAATCTTCGTGATTCCGAGATGGTTTTCGTATAGTTTTTTTCTTGAAAATGTTAATAACAATAGCGATAAATAAGCTCAAAATTTTTCTAGAATAAGCTAGCTTTGCGCTTTAGCTCTGTAGAATCTGCTAGGTAGCGTCGAGGTAAAATTGAAGCTACCCGCAACCAAAGATAGTGAAGAGTGGTTATAAGATGCCCCATCGAATTAACTATCATTGTAGTCGATAATTGACACTACATTGGGAACAGAGGAGTCCGTCGTGCAGCTGAGCATCCCTATCACCGATGACACTCTTCTTTCATAGGCAAGCTGAATAAATCGGTTTTTACCCTGGATCCCCAAATTAATTGAATGCTACAGAAAAACAGGCGTTCGAAACGTCAACGTCTCCGGTGGGATAAGAGGAAACGTTTCTGGCCAGAGCATAACCTGCTCTAGCACTTCAGAGCTTTGTGGCCGTTCAACCATCTGACCTTGTGCCATCAGAGCATTTGCTACTTCAAATGCGAGCCAGAGAGGACAGCCCTGAAGAGTACGGGCAGCTACAACGGCCTCCTTCTTTAGTAGTCGTCCCAATGGCATAGCTACAGAGAAGGTTCTCTCCAGGCCCACTTTCCTAACTACCGATAAGCTATTGGTTATCTGGGGAACGACCCGAAGATCAGATATTCTTTGGTCAGTGGCGTGCTTCCCTTCCTGTACAGTCTCCGTACAAAGGATAAGCGCCAAGCTACCTGCAGCTGCCTCTTTATCATCAAAAATAAAAGAAATAGCTGCAAGTTTCACCACCAGCCCTTTTCAGGGCCATTCGGAGTATTTACGTTCCCTATTTAACCATCAATCTCATCGGTTCTTTTAGGGCTAACCTAAGTTTAAATTACCTTGCCAAGTAATACATTTTTACTACGATTTCCGGGGACGATTCGTCAACTCAAAGACTATGTAAAGCCGGCCACTATTAAACCAAGTCAGTCATTTACTGGCAGACGTCACGAGCAGAGTTGTTCGTCACAAGGCTGGGAACCCAAGTGACCGACGACCCTTTATTACCCTCTCAACTTTAAGCAATTAACCAGGTATCACCGATATTCTCCAAGGTGCGCTGGGTGAACCTAACAGCTATGAAGAAAAAATAATAAACGTGAGCCAACGGGATAGTCTCCAATGGGCAAACATCACAAACTAATCTTTCCACCTTAGATCACCAAAGCAACTGAGTCTGAAAGAAAGGTGCTTTAGTCTTAATAAACCATCTAAAATAACCGTCTTTGAAGTTATACCAGGAGATGTTAGAAAAGAGCTCTACAACTTGCTCCAAAGCTTCAAACCCTGAGGTATCCAGGTAGTCACGTTCGCTGGAAACTTCGGTCAACAAAGTACTTTACTTAAGAAGCTCACCAGTCCTTTTCAGGTTTATCGGACGTCAAACTATCATGCTAACAAATATATTACAACCTAATAAGGTTTAAAAAAATTGCCTTTAGAGCTCACAAGAGTCTGAACTGTGCCAAAAGTCACAAGAAATTGAATTAGACGGAAAACTTCAAATGAATCTCATGATTGATCTCAAAAGCTTGAGCCAACGAGAGTCTCCAACGGGCAAGCATCACGAACCAATCTCTACTAATCTCTCTACCTTAGATCATCAAAACAACTAAGTCTGCATAAAAAGGTGCTTTAAACACCTACGTCTTCGACGTTATACCAGGTGACGTTGGGAGGGAGCACTACAACTAGCCCCAAAGTTTTGGACTTCTTAATTTTCCTCCCGATCAGTCTGGGTCTTTAACAGAAGGCCAGAGAAGATTACCCTGAGGTGTCCAGGCAGTCACGATTGCTCTAAACTTTAGTCAAGACAGAATTTACTTAAGAAGCTCACCGGTCTTTTTTAGGGCAATTGGACGTTGAACTACCTTGCCAACAAATATATTAAAACTTAACAAAGTTAACAGAAAGCAGCCTTTGGGGATCACAAAAGTCGCAAGGGGGTGAATTGGGAGGAAAACTTGAAATGTGTCTAATGAAAACAATTTGAGGCATCAAGAAACTGACGCAAAAAATTTATCAAGATGGGAATAGCAGCCTCAAAATCGACAAATGAAGAATTTATTACGTGAGAGATCAGCTTTATATTTTACCCTCACAGTAATCTCTTAAATCTTTAAAGATCTTAATTCAGATTTTTAAATAAGTTAAAAATGTATTTGTATTTTTGTGGCAATAAAAAACGTAGAGATTAAGCTCCAGGACTTTGNACTTATTTAAAAATCTGAATTAAGATCTTTAAAGATTTAAGAGATTACTGTGAGGGTAAAATATAAAGCTGATCTCTCACGTAATAAATTCTTCATTTGTCGATTTTGAGGCTGCTTATTCCCATCTTGATAAATTTTTTGCGTCAGTTTCTTGATGCCTCAAATTGTTTTCATTAGACACATTTCAAGTTTTCCTCCCAATTCACCATGTAGAAGCCAATAGAACGAATATAATACCCATCTATGCCAGATACTCGAAATCGCAGTTGACAACTGTAGACCGCATAATTTTTTTTTTCACTTTTAACAGCTTTTCACTTGACCAAATAAATTGTATGCATGGCGAACAAATATGTTTTTAATAAGAAGATTTTTTTTTATATAACCCTTATAGTAATCTCTTGAATCTTCTAGACTTTTAAATAGGTAGAATATGTATTTGTATTTTTGTTGCGATAAATAATGTAGAGATTGAGCTCCAGGATTTTGTTGCTCTGGTAATAAAGTTGTGAGATAAGAGTGAAACAACAATTTTAATAACATGTTTTTTTTTGATCTTTGAATGTTGACAGCCTCGAAAAAAGCCTTGTTCATAGACTATATGCTAGAAACTGCAAATCAACGGCCACTTATGACCGATAATTATTTTACGGCATAAGTAACACCCGGCACTTTTTACAATAATTCAATTTTTTTCAATTTTTACAGCTTATTATTTGGCCAATTAAACTGTATGCATTCTGGACAAACATGTTTTTAATAAGAAGATTTTTGTCCTGAGAAGTGTCAGAAATAAATGTAAAATTTTTAACTGAAAACGTTTTACATTACATGTCAACACACTACGGTGTTCTATTCAGTGAGTCTCTGGCGAAGCTGAGACGTGGGGGCCACTAGTTAAACAATATTTACGTGTTTTTCCTGATTTATTATGTTTTTGTTAATACTGTGCACATAAAATCTACAAACGTACCTATATTTCTAATATTTTAATCAATGACCAGCTTACATTATTATTAAAACTAGTTTTTATATCAAGTTATAAAGTAAGCTTATAAAAATGGATAAAAATTAAATTTGACGATATACGTATATTCCTTTTCATAATTTTCCTATATGTTATGAAAAATAGTTATTTCCCTTATTAAGGAAGGTCCATCGCCTAGTGTGGTAGTCAATTCAATGACAATCGATGCGACGTCACTAAATGAAAGCTTCCTTTTATGCTGGTAGTATGTTGGTAATGAAGTTTATTTTATTTTCAACTGAATCCAGCTGCTATTATGAATAGTGTGCTATATATTTATACAGTCAGCTGTTGAAAGTGATAAACTTAGGAGTTTGTGTAAAAAATTATTTTATATTCATGATTGCTGTAATTTAGTGCGTTATTATCCATCAAAGAAACTTAATTGAAAAATCATTATAAAAGTTTTCATATTATTTTACAAATTCAAATTTTTTGCATTACATGCGCTCCCTACACTAATATGGCCAGCAGTATTTGTCACTGCACGCACCGAATGTAACTGTAGACCAAAATTGTATTTTAGCTATCTTATTAATTTTTTCATCGCCAACACCTATAACGTTACCCAGTTTTTTGAAGATGATGATGCCAGGGTTACAGTACTCATATTTTTGTGCTTGTATACATTCTATTTTAGTAGTCTAATTGATCATCAAAAGTTTGCTTCAGGCCTTCGGCCGCACATAAGAGGCTGTGTTAGGCGAGTTCGAAAAGTCCTGACTTTGAATTGAATTCCGGATTTTGATTACCAACCCATACAAATAAGGATACTATTGGATTCAGCGCGATCAGAATTTTAATAATATGTCATTCAAAGTTTTTGTGCATTTCGTGATGGAGCCTCCTTAAGTTATAAATGCATGCATCTAAACATCTATAGTAAATCATCATTTTGAATGTACTTAATGCACACCAAACTCCAATAACTATTGTATACTTAGACGTGTATGAAAGTTTGCAGTGATTTTTGCTGCATTACCTCGTACTTACAGAGGAACATTTTGAAAGACTAATCTTGTATGTCTCTCTGAGTAAAATTACATTCCTTGAGCTTTTTTGTCCGAAGATGATACTAAAACCTAGCATCAACTATTATTACTACCACTGCACATAGAGTAGGAAATTAAGTTACATATGTCTTTGCAGTTTTGTAGGAATGTAATTTAAGTAAAGTGCGAGTAATTAAATTTATCGACATTTCCCATCAAGTTCGAGATTGCCAAGGCATCTCAATTTTTTTAGTTAAAACTACAGATTTGTAGAAAAATTGTCATATGTAGCTATTAAAAAAAAGTGTTACGTCAACTAGGATTTGAACCTAGAACTCTTTTCTTACTGGGAAAGTGCGTTACCAATTTCGCCATCGAGGTATTGGCGACTTCTCTCCTCAATTGCTACATCTTAGTTTTTTTGGCGATTTTTCTGTCAACGCCGGCTCATATGGTATATAAGAATATTAGAAATT